GACTTTGCGTTTTCCGAGCTCTGCCCCGCTAGCTGCTCCTTTTCTTGGACATGGTGTGGTGTGACAGCCTTTTGTAATTTAGCTGTTTTCATTACTTAAGGCAAATAGTGACCAGGGACAGGAGCCAGGTGAGGTTTGGGCTGGATATTAGGAAAGGTTCTACCCCAGAGGGTGCTGGCAGTGCCAGGGAATGAGCACAGCACCCAGAGGTCCAGGAGCTCCCAGGGGTGCCAGGGTGGGATTGCTGGGGCTGTGCAGGGATAGGAGCTGGATCAATGATCCTGTGGGTCCCTTCCAGCTCAGATGTGCTGGGAATCTGTGCAAAAGGGATGAGGCAGCTCTGTCCAGCCAGAGAGGGAAGCTCAGTCCCAACACTGCCAAGCTGTGTCCTCTGGGATGGCCCCTCCATCCAGCCCAGGCCTAGCATAGCTCCCACCTTGGGTGTTTCTGACACATCCAGCCCTGCTGGAAGCTGCTGCTGGTGGACAAGAGGAAATTTATTTGTGGTGTTCAGCCCAAGGGTGGCAGGAGCCCTGTGAGTGCCCAGAGAGCTGCAGAGCCTGCCCCAAATTCACAAACAGGAGCTCCCTGTACGTGATCCCTGCATTGAGCCAGGCCTGGCTCCCACAAGGGGCTTTGTTTTTGTCAGGTAGGAAGTATGCAAAGTACACCCAGTGTTTACAAAGTACCTCAGTGCTATTTTGACTAATTTTTACTGGAGAGTTAGTGGTTGTTTCAAAGCTGGATTAGTCACTTCGACCATAATTACAATCTCTTGAAATCTGCTTCAGCATTTTGAATTGGCTTCAGGCCTAATGGTCAGAGAACGGCTCCATCTCCATCTCAAGACTAAACTTGATTAGGAGCTCCTGTAGTTGTATTTATCTTGTAGCTTTTTCCTGATTTTTAAGTGAAAGATGAGTAAAGATGGAGTGCTGTGCACAGAAACCTGTGGTGCTGTGAGCTGACTGGGCATGGAAAGATGCAAGTGAAGAACAGAGCAGTGCTCACAGAGATGAGCCCTCACAGACACCCAAATTCCCACTGGAATTCCCTCCACAGCATCCCATGGGATAACTGTGTGCACACCAGTTGGAGAAGCCAGACCAAACAGACAATCCAAGCTCCAGCAGCCCTCCACAAGAGCTCCATTTTTGCCCTGGTTCTGTTCTGGAGGTGTCTCCAGATGGAAATGCCTTAGCCAAGAGGCAGAGCCCGGGGAGGGGAGCGTGCAGCAGCTTGTGTGTGACACTCCTTGGCACGCTGGCACTGGGGCAGGCAGTGTTCTCTGTGTGGGAGGAAACACCAGCAGCCACCTTGGATTGCATCATCCCCCCCTCCCTGCTTTTTTTTTTTTTTTTCCCCTTTCTTTCTTTTTTGTCTTGCAGATGGTAAAACAAAGGCTGTAGTGAAACCCGTTTTCTCCCAGGAAGAGGTGGGAGGGAATTTTTTATATGAGCAAGAAACTTTGCCTCGAGTGGAAATCTGGAGCCTGGGCTAATGAAGTACCTGTAATTCAGATTGTGCTAAATACTGCTGAAACTAGGCATGTACTAATCATGGACCGTGCCAAACTATGCATAATTACTATGCTTTCTCTGTAGCAGTAATTAATTTGCGTTAGCAACTTTGATTAATCTCTCTAATCTAGAAGTAAAGCGCTTCTCAGACATGAAAGGCTCTCCAAGTGCTCAAGGTTGTTGTTGCAGCCTTGTGGAGGGTGCTTCAATCCAGTGGGGGGCAGGAAGGGGACAAAGCTTAAAAAAAAATAATCAAAGTCTAGCTGATATTTATGAACTAATGAGTACTAAAGAGAGTTCTGTTTGGCCACAGAATTCATCAGCTAAGCTGCACTGTCCACAGTGCCTTCCTCCTGCAAGAAAAGAGAATTATCAGTCAGAGAGCTTCTGCAAAGCTGCTCCAGAGATAAGGGGCTGAGATTCTGTCACCCTGGTTTTTTAAGATTTTCTAAGTCTTCTGATGTTCACACTCTTGTAATGAATTTTCTCACACACTTTCTGTGAATAACTCATTGTTTTGCATTCCTTCATGGAGGAGGAGAAATTTGATGGGCTGTTGGTTTGTCCAGTGTCATTGGAGAGGCGGCACTGTCACCCTCCAATCCACTGCCACTTTTGGAAAACTATAAATGTTGGAGTCAGAAAATAAACTCCCCTTTTTCCTTCACCTTGAGACAGCGGGGTGTGCTTGTGTTTTTCCATGTCCTACAGTGACAAGATTCCCCCTCACAGAGGGCTGTGAGTCACAAACTCACCCAGAAATTCACCTTGGTTCTGGGCAGGGTTGCTCAGGCCTGGTCCCAGCTGCTGTGCTCAGTCCCACAAGGGCTGGTTGTGCTTCCTGGGGGAGCTGGGGCTGCCCATTTTCCAGAGGGATGAGTGCTGAACTCCCTGCCCAGCCTGCTGACTCCAGGTGCTCCTGTGGGAGCTCAGCCCTGGCTCCTCTGCACTTTAAATTTCCACTCTCACTGCCAACTCTGCGCCCAGAGCAGCCCTGACTGCTGAAAGGGTTTGTGCCATCAAAAGGCGCTTGTGATTTACCCAGGCTCCATCAGCTCCCATATCTCCAGGAGCTGACATTTCTGAGGCAAACACACCACAAATCCAAATGGGTTTGTAAGTCACCATGGCATTCTCTTCCTTTCCCTGTTAATATTATTCAGGTATTTTTTTCTTGTTTCTTCTTTTAGCACCGTTTCCTGGCAAGGATTACATATAATTCATGATAAGAGATTCAGAATGACATGAAAATCAGTTGGAAATGGCTAATCTAGAGATTACTAACAAGCTTCTTTCAGTTTGACTCAGATAACTTTTGTTAAAATCGGCTGCTACTGCCTCAAAGTCTGGGATCAATTCTGTTTGCACGAGTCAGAAAAAAAAAAGCTTTTAAACCACACAACTCAGTAGAAAATGTAAATGTGATTCCTACAATTTATAGGGCTTTTTTTTTTATAATGCTGATTCAACAAAGGAATTCATTGTGATAGTTTATTTTCTTACAGCTGTAGTTTGTGTCCAAATATTTTATAATCATAAAGCTACCCTCTTGATATCAGTCAAAATAGACAATATATATTGATGTCTAAACAAGCTTTGTAGAAGACATTTTTTTTTAAATCAGGCATGGGACTTTACATTTATTAGAAGGTGTTCACAAAAATAAGGGTAACATCATGCATATTCTCTGCAACTAAACCCAGTTATGGTTACAGTCTGGAAATAAATTCTTTAAATAGACATATGGAGATACAGTAGTACATATACACTCTATTTATGACATTTAGTGTACTGATAACTCCCAGCAATACATCAGAAGTCCACAACCAGCTGATGGAGGGATTGGATAAGGAGGAAGAAACTGCTTCAATTTCTCACATTATTCATGTGGCTGGACAAGAATGTCAGTGTGAATGGCCTCCTGAGTCTGGGAGGCAAGAACAAGTCAAGACTATACCTGTGCAGTACAAAACGTTTACACACGAAATACACATGCATTGCAATGCATTGGGGGTGGGCAGAGCCAGGAGAAACCCCTTCCCCAATGCTTTATTAACACAATTCTACAAAGGAGTCTCAAATAGGATTATATACTTCAGTCACAGTAAGGCCACAAAATTACAATGGATAAGGACCTTGGAACCAGACATTCTGTGGGAGCAATGGAACCCTTCCTTCCTTCTTTCCAGAGCCTTCCACGTGTTCCTGCGTGGCATCTCCCCCACCAAAGTCCTCCTGCTATTATTGATTTGTGTTTCTGTAGGTTGGACATATTGCTTGGTACAACAGTGAGCACAGTAGAGAAGGGTGCTGGCACAGGGAGAACAAAACCTATGGGACATTCAGACTCTACACAAAGCTGGCTAATCAGAGAAGAGGCTGGCAAAGGATTTCCTCAGGTTCCGGATGGTCTCAGCTTTGGCCTCGTCCTCGTTCACGGACGACCTGAAGAAGGAGGACTCTGTGAAGCTGAAGGCGTTGGTCAGGGACTGAGACTTGCTGCAAGACACAAACACAACAATTCTGCATGGCCACGCTGTCCCCCAGCCTCCACCCCCCAGCACTCGCATCAGGGGAGGGGAAATTCAGAGGAAATCACAGAAATTCCCACTGGAATTCCCTCCACAGCATCCCATGGGAAAACTCGGTGCACACCAACAACCCCTTGGAGAAGCCAGACCAAACAGACAATCCAACAGATTTGTCCCTTGGATTTGTCCCTGAGGCTGGACAAAAATTGTCTTTCACCCATTTTTGTTATGTCCCACGCAATTCTGCACCCCTGACTTGAGAGTAAGGCTTGAGGATAATATTTCCTTCAAGGAACACAGTGGTGTTTTCTTTTCTTTCTACAGGTCTGAATTGGATGGTGCAAATTAGAGCCTTGAGGAAAATGTGGGCCTGGCTGCTAAATCCAAATCACAACCCAATAGGGCTGATAAATAGTTGTGTTTTGCTGAGGCTGCAAATGGCTGTGCACAGAGAAAAATCAGGTATTTTACAAGAGTTTGAATCCTGAACTGTAATGTACTTTCCCTCTGTCTAAATGTATTGAACATTAGAGCCTTAATAGAGGCTTAAAGGTATTTTATATCTTTGAAAAAGCACCCCAAATTGGATATTTTTTTTCTTTTCTATATGTAGTGCCTGGTAATGCCACTCCATTCTTAGTGCTATCATGTAACTCCTGTGTAAGTTCCCATTTGCATGAAAAACATTACAAGGAAAACAAGGAGGAAAATAGCTATAATCTAAAACTTTAACTCATGACTTCTCAGATAAAATAACATCTTAAAAAGAGGCTTGAATTGAAACAGAAGACATTAATGAGTTATCAGCTTTTTTCAAAGACATCCCTACATGGGTAAAACGAGTTACCTGATTTCATTTTTATCTCAGCACAATAGATTTCAGTTTTGGCTCCGGTAAAACTGAAGCACTTTCCTTATTCAAATTGTCTCAGACTCCTCATGGTTTGCAGCTCCTCTCCTTCTAAACTAATAATGTACAGCAAACAGTGCTGCAGGCGTTTTAGGTTTTTCATAAATTATAGTTGTGCTAATGAGAATAGACTGATAAATGTTTGTTTGTACTCACTGAAAGAGGGAGGGTGGGAAGCAGCACTTGACTTGATTAGTAACACAATAAGTAGCCTAATTAAATATTTATTCACAGATTAATAACATGTACATACAGGTTAGGCAACAGCATGTGGGTGAATACAAAGCATACACATGCAAATAGAGTTAATCCTACAGGCAGGAGATCTGAGCCTTGGTGTGGACCTAAAACTGCTTCTGAAACTTAGAAAGCTGCTCTTATTATGGCTTGCATCTTAAAAACTTTCATTTCTCCTTTGTTATTTTATTTTAAAGAGAGACTCTTCCATTTGAAGAAGAGGAAAATTAATCTAGATGTGAACAAAAAGCTGAAAGGAGAAAGCTGGGAAGCAGCATGTGGCAGAGCCCTCAAAGTTAACTTTCAAACCATAAACTGATTTCCATCTTGCTTAAAAAAATCCACCTCTTATTCTCCATCATCTGAAATGACAGAGGAATCAATTTGAGGTTTATGATCACAAAACAGAATAAAGAAATACATTGTGCCACGGAGGCCAGGGAAATACTGTCCTCTTTGCACAGTATTGTCATCCAGCATGTCCCTGGCACTGAGCTGGGCTCAGGGAGGACCCGGGGTTGTTTCCCACTGGTGTTAGCCCAGGAGTGGGTAGAACAAGGGGATCTGTGTTCCTGGGAGGAAACAGAGCCTCTGTGCAGCTCTTTGTGCATCCCAGACTGAGGAGATGTGTCTGAGACTCTCCTGGCAATGGAGCAGAGCTCTGCTGGTGCCTCCCTGGGCTTTCTGTTGGCTGCCTTTGAGCTCTGAGGGGGGATATTCCATAATATTCCATATTCCTTACTGGGTGTAAATCAGTAAGGAACCTTCCAGAAGTGGGACAACCACTTCTCTTTTTATTTTTTTTTTAATTTTTTTTTTTGAGTTTTGAGTTTTGAGTTTTGTTCGGCCTTCTCTGGGCAGGGCTTGAGCACAACCACAGGCAGCAGAGAGAACCAATTTGGCAGCCAGTGTCCAACATGACCCAGCCTGGACTGTGCCTTTGGAAACAGAATGTGTTGTCTCAGTGACTGCAAGGTTAAAAGTTGAAGCAGATAAGGCTTCCTCTTGCAGGGCAGACTGACAGCACGCCCAGCCCGTGACTCAGTGGCACCAAAAGGAGGAAACAAAGACTAAAAAGATGATGGGTTTTCTGGCCAGGGAAGAAATTGCACAATGGGCAGATTAAATTTTGCATGGTGATCAGGATAGAATTAATGCTAGCAGCTTACTTTACTCCATTAACAGAGATTAAGCTTTTTGAGCTTTAATTTAATCTCATTTTAAATTTGGGACTAGAACTAATGCCAGTAATTTACTTTACGCCATTAATAGAGATTAAGTTTTTTGAGCTATTTAATCTCATTTTTAATTTGGGACTAGAACTAGTACTAGTGGCTTACTTTACTCCATTACCAGGGACTAAGATTTTGAACAGTTTAACCTCATTTTAAATTTGGGACTAGAACTAATGCTAGCAGTTTACCTTACTCTATTACCAGGGACAAAGTTTTTGAACTATTTAACCTCATTTTAAACTTGGGACTAGAACAAGCACTAGTGGCTTACTTTACTCCATTATCAGGGACTAAGATTTTGAACTGTTTAACCTCATTTTAAATTTGGGACTAGAACTAACACTAGAGGCTTGCTTTACTCCATAACCAGGGATTAAGATTTTTGAGCTGTTTAGCCTTGTTTTAAATTTGGGACTACAACTAGCACTGGCAGCTTGTTTTACTCCATTACCACCGATTAAGCTTTTTGAGCTATTTAACCTCATTTTAAACTTGGGACTAGAACTAATGCTAGCAGCTTACTTCACTCTATGACCAGGGTCTAAGCTTTTTAAACTATTTAACCTTGTTTTAAACTTGGGGCTAGAACTAGCACCAGAAGCTTACTTTACTCCATTACCACAGACTAAAACCTAGTTTTACACTTGGAACTAGAACTAGTGCTATCAGTTTACTTTAATCCATTATCAGGGAGTAAGTTTTTTGAGCTATATAGCCTTGTTTATAACTTGGGACTAGAACTAATGCTAGTTTACTTGACTCCATTACCAGGGATTAAGATTTTTGAGACATTTAACCTCCTTTTAAACTTGGGAACAGACCTAACACTAGAGGCTTACTTTACTCCATTACCAGAGATTAAGATTTTTGAGCTATTTAACCTCATTTTAAGCTTGGGACTGGAACTAATGCTAGCAGCTTACTTTACTCTATGACCAGGGTCTAAGCTTTTTAAACTATTTAACCTTGTTTTAAACTTGGGACTAGAACTAGCACTAGAAGCTTACTTTACTCCATTACCAGGGAGCAAGTGTTTTGAGCTATTTAATCTTATTTTAAATTTGGGACTAGAACTAATGCTAGCAGCTTACTTTACTCCATTACCAGAGACTGTTTTTTGAGCTGTTTAACCTTGTTTTAAACTCGGGACTAGAACTAGCACTAGAAGCTTACTTTACTCCATTACCAGGGTCTAAAAACTCGTTTTAAACTTGGGACTAGAATTAACGCTTACTTGACTCCATTACCAGAGTTTTTTGAGCTATTTCACCTCCTTTTAAACTTGGGAACAACACGTTCATTTCCCCCCTGGCCGTCAGAGCATCCCCCCAGTCCCAGTCAGACAGAATCTACGCCACGAGGAGAGAAGAAGCGCGGATAAAGCGACTCTTACTTCAGCTGCGGGTGCGACTGCGGCTTCTGCTGCGGCTCTGGCTGGGGCTGTGGCTGTGGCTCTGCTTCCTTTGATAACCTGGAGCTGGGAGGACCTTGGGCCTGGGGCCGAGGCTGCTGGGTGGTGGGTCCGGGCGGGCGCTGGGGCTGCGAGGCTGCGGGCTTCGCGGCCTGCCCCGCGGGGAACACGCGCTGGGGCTGCAATGCCTCCTGGCTTTGGGATTGCATTCCTTGGGGTTGCACTGGGCCCCCTAGGTTCAGTACAAGAAAAACTTCATAATGTTATAGTTGCAAAGAGGCCTTACTTAGAACTTCATACCCAACACTTTAAAACCATCCTCTCCAACGTGATTAACGCTACTTTCGAGGTAAAGGCCTACTCGCGTGTGGAGGCAAGAGCACTGCTCACACTCATGAGGAACTTGCTTGGAGCCCCCCATGAACCAGCCTTAAAACTTAAACAGCACCCCATTTATCCCAGGTACTGATTTCCAACCAAATCAATGGAGTTACACCCAGAACAGTTTTGGCCCACGTCAAGGAGAGGCTGTGAGGTAACTGAACACAGCAGTAATATCTAATTCAGCAAGACATTCGCTATTTTCTGTGTAGTTATTGCAGATATTTTCTTCCTCCAAAGTCTTAAAATAATTTCTGTAATATTCCTCTTAGATTCACTCTTACAGCAGTAAAACACTCTAATTTTCTGTCTGGTTGAAAGTATTTTCATAACTTACTTAACCCTTCAGTGAGATATGTCAAGAACATTACAAGAAACACAAGAAATCACTACAAATTCTTTACCAGGAAGGCACTTCACTGGCAAACTACTGCATGGAGTGGAAACCACAACGTGCAGGAGAGACTCAGGCTGTGCAACCCGCGGCTGAAAGATGCTACAGAATCATCCAGTGGGGCTTTTTCTGCTTTCTGGCTGAAATAATGCTGTGTCAGACATCAGGGCTTGCTGCTTTTATCTCAGCTCCCAGGTCTGACTGGGGTTTTCTGGACTGATGATTGTTGTAACTGAATTTTAACCCTTGCAAATGAAAATGCACTCAGGACATCTGACTTGAGGGGAGAAAGGATGGTACGACATTCTGAGTATTTGTTTGTACAGTAGTTCACTCAGGATAAGAGCTGTTGTAAATACCACAGAGCACAACTGAGCTAGACCTGGGAATTTTCAGTCTTGCATAGATATTTAGCGCAACTAAAACACTTAATCTGCTCAAGTCTCTCAAAGCAAACCATCATATCTAGATGTACTGCTGCAATACATTATTTTTTTGTTGTTGTTGTTTTAAAATTGCTTTTACAGTTAACTTTCCCCTTACTACATGAATTCCAGTGTGTGTGTGTGTGAGGACAGCACGTGCTGATGCCTCAGTGAGTTTTAGCACAATTGTAGCAGTGTGTTGTGGTGTGGAAAGATAAATAGCACGTACTGAATGTTAAGGAATGTGCCTTCATTGTTTATTAATTTGAACCACTTTTGTAGGAAATATTTGAAGGTGATAACATGGTCTTGCAACATCTTAATAAGGAGCCTTTTCTTATTAGTCTCCTTTCACTCAATATTGAAAACCAGAAAGGTTTCTTTCCCCCACTTGTACGTACAGGCTTGAATGCCAGAAACTTTACACTGAAGACAGATATAACTTTCTTTTATTGCACATTAAGCTGTACAAGAGATTTCACATAAAAGATATACTGCTGTCACATTTCCAGCGTTTGCTCACTTTCTTGCAGCTGGGTTGTACAAAAGGCAACAATCATGAAAGAAACTTTTACCAAAAATAACTCAACAGAACTGAACATTAAGCCTACACTGTAAAACATCTGTTCCCTGTTACCCACAATATTGCACCTAAGCATGCTGACATGCAGAGAGACATCTTGGCTTGTTTCTTGGCTGTGGGATGTAGGAATTGTGTGTGCCCCTGCGAATCCTTCCCAGGGAACAGGCTGGAATCCTGTCTGAGACACCCAGGTCTTCCACACACACACACACAAACACGCACAAATGTCCTGTGAAAAGCACTTGTGAATACTGGCACTACTCCATGCAAAAAATACCAACTGCTTGCAAGGAAAATCGGTCATCAGATTCAGTTCTCCACCCCAGGGCAGTATGGTTTGTTCTCTTTTAGGGTGTCTGGAGGAAAGGATTTGTGAACCTGATTTCTGGGTGGGATTTCCTTGACATAGAACGAAATAGCCAATGCCATCGTTGGAACGATCACTGACCCAGACAAATGCTGATCACTAAAGCAAAATATTCATGTAATTTACTGATAGGTAGTAAACAGTAGCACTTACCACAAACATTTAAATAGCTAATAGTGCATACCTTAATTCTCATCTCACCAGCCAGCTCGTACAAATAAAAGAAACACTAAGAATGATGAGACTCACTGATAACTTTTTCCAGTGTTTGTAGGGAAAACAGACGTAGAACATCGGGCTGTTTTCCCTTTAAACATAATTGTTTGCACTAAACTAATGGCCACTACTCATCTTTGTACATATTCAAGATGAAAATTATAGTTTTGTGGCTCGCTTGCAACTCAGCTTTCTGGTATGCCAGCAGCGTGCAGCTTGTGATTCTGGGCTAGATTTCTCCCAACAGATTAACTGCCTGCCTGTGGAGCTCTCCTAGCACTGCTTATGTAAAAATCACAAAGAATTTACCTACAGAAAATCTAGCAGTTGTCAGGCACCTCAAGTCCTTTTGCATGTTCTTAGAAACCCTATTTATGTGGATAACGTCGGGACTGGATTTTCTTTACAGCTCTCTGGAATCTTGCAGGTGTAAAATAGGAGACCTGAGTTGGTAAAGAAAACCACTGACAGTTTTTGCCTTGCATTTTCTAACCCAGGATCCTCAGCTGGTTAAAGGTACCTTGGTCTGCCATCCCCTCACTTCTCAGTATTTGCAATGAAATGAGCTCTTACAGGAAGTTTAACAGTCCTTGAGGTACTTCTCACCAAATAACCTGGGATTTAAATCTTAGGTAAGTATAAGATTTTTTGAAAGTATTTGCATTAGTTTTCATTAAAAATCTCCATAGATTACTAATTCAGAATGACAACAAAAGGTACTACTTAATTGAAACAGGATACATTAAATACTCACACTTTCACTGAGATATTGCACATAGGTGGCCCATTTACATAGCTTTGTAGCTAATAATTTAATGCAGAATTACTAAAAATATGAATACCAGTATGTAAAATAGAAGATATTTTAAATATTCCTTGGGAAGAACTGTATTTTTTATGGAGTCACCAAAATAGCAGACTTCCACTCGCATAGAAGTAAAACTCAAAGGTTAATAAACTTTATAAAATTATAAATAAAAAGCCTCACTAGCAAATCCTAATCTAGACTTTAAAAATATATCTGGAATCACCTACCTATTGGTCATGCACACGCACAGAAAAATAAAGGCTATGAGTACAGTGTGCACACACTCACAGAGTAAGCGGAGGGACGGGGGGCTTGCACCTCGGGGGGATTGTACTGAACAATATCAAATACTCCAGAAATACTGTCTAACCATCCAGGCTGTACATGGCACTGGGCTCTAGAGAGGCACATTCTTTGTACACTGTTGACAGCAGCCCTGCAATCACGAGTTTACAGAGGAAGGTTGGAAAGCGTTACACGCACAGACAGGAACAAGGAAACAACCAGACGGGAGAGTTGACACTGCATAGAAAAAACACAGTCCAGGTCAGCACTGAAACAATGGCAAACTGAACAAAACTGGGATGCTTGCATTCAGATTGGTTGTTTCTCTGATTTCAATTGGGTTTTGATTTGTTTTTCACTTGTCATGTTTGCTTTAACCCTCGCTTTTGGTCTCAGTTATCTAAGTAGCCTGGACTTGTTTTGGTCCTACTGCAACGCCATTACAGTCGAGAATGTACTGTAAACAACCTTGAGGTGGTGGTCGCTGAGGTGGGACTTTGTTTGGCTCTGGCTCCTTTAGTGATCCACTCTGGAAAATACATTTGAAAACAGAAAAGAAAAAAAAAATAAAATTAGAGTAGCTCGGTTCCAATTTTCCCCTAATTTGTCTTTATTTTCATTAGAAAACTCTTTATTGGTGGGGCTGAACATATACTTGAAATTTATTCCAGATACCATTTTTTAATTTAGTTGCTGCCTGACATGATATATGAATCCTGGGCTGGTCCAAGGCTGAGCTCTTATAAAACTGTTTTCCCTGTGCAGCATGTGATCAGGATGCAGGGAGTGCCTTCCCAACCTTACCTCCATCTGGGGAAGGACTTTATCCTCAGTTCCCAGCACCAGCAACCATTTCTTTGTATTTCAATGCATCTGCTCTCTCTTTTTTTTTTTTTTTTTTTTAGGACAGACTGAATCGGAAATGGATTTCAACAGATACCTTTGTGTAATTTAAGAAATAATTGATTTTTAATTATGTTCACTTGTATCCAGAAGCGTTTGCACAGCAGGAGTTTTGCCAGTGATAGTTTCACTTTGATTTGCTGGCTGTAAGTGGGGAGGGAGGTGGGCTGCTCCAGCTTCACTGTTTTGCTAAGCAAAATGAAAGAAGAAAGCAAAAACCACAGACAAATAATAAAAATAATTGAAATGACTTCATGCTTCTCCATCTGATATGTTATTAGAAACACATGTGATACTTCACTTTTCAAAACAGGAGGTTGATTTGGCAGCATCCTTTTCACATGGATACTTGTGAAAGGAAAAGATGGGCCTGAACCAAGACCTTGGAGCAGAACACCCTCTGGGAACAGGAGTATTTGAATCCAAACTTTGTCTTAGGCCCATCTCTAACATTTTGAAACGTGAAAGACATTTAAATCATTGTAGATAATAGCTTAGGATTTATTTTAAAGCATCCAGAAATCAAACTGCCATCTGTCAAGAGGAAAAAAATGCAGAATTTATTAAAGAACAAATGCAAAATCAATTAAACGTGTTTCTTGCAGAGCTTACTGGGTTTTTTTTCTGATAGATTTGTATTTGATCACGCTCCTAGTACTTGATTTACAGAATAAATCTTGCTCCTGGTGCTCTGAATTCCTGCCCAGCAATGCAGCTGTTGAGTTCTAAATGGCACAAGAGCCCTCCAGTGCATGCAGCTGCTGCAAATAAAAGGACACAGGGCAGCTCCAAAACTCTCATTATTCAGCGTTACCAACCTGCAGGAGCCCAAAGGAGGAGCAAAAATGATCCCCACAAACTGTGCTCCTTGATTTACCTCACCCAGTTACCCAGTGCCTGCTGAGCACCACTGAAGGGGTGAGGATATGTAGAAAATAAGAAAAATTTGTGAGGAAATTCAAAATTTTGTAAGGAAAGGCAAAGCCACCAGGAAATGTTGGAGTGCAAGTTGCTGTGTCTCCTTTAGC